CCATCTGTAGTGGTCTGATGGCTCTTTGAGACGCACGCGGAACGCGACGCGCCGTACGCTCGGGTAAAAAAAACCATTGCTTGGTTACCTATTTCTTTTTTTATTGTGTCTACTAGTTATATATAACATCGCCTTTCATCTCCGAAGGGGTAATCAGAGATGCACATTAATGCCACTGTACAATTTAACACCCACTTTTCACTATTTATGTTATAAGTCCCATGTAATAGGGGTTGAGACTACACCCAACTGATCTAGTTATGTAGACAGATATCTACACATTTAAGGCTGAGCGTATCTCTCAGCAAAGATACCTAGCTTCACTCACAGATAGAACGACAGACAATTCAGTTGTGACGTTTAAAAGTAGTTAGGGAGTCATTGAAATATATAATGTAACTTTTTAACGTTTCTGGGACGAAATGGCGCTACTTTTGACGCACATTTTCTATGTATGTATAGGTTGCCTGCCAGGCAAAAAGCGTAATGGTATGTTATGTATAGGTAAATGAATTATTTTAATTGGATCAGTGAAGATTTAGACTACATTAGGCTTGACTTATAACTTAATTCAATGTTTCAAGTACATTCTCCAAGAAATATAAGAGCCACATTGCGTTGTGATTACATTTGAGATGCATAAATGGTTAAATTAAACAGCTGGGTTTGTCCTATGTGACGAAACCTTCAACTGTGTATTACGAGTGGACTGGAAAAACCAAATCTTACAATCTTACTAAGAGATATTATAAATGTGAAAGATTAACCTTGACACAATGGGGGCCTACCGTATTTTTGCTCAGCAGATGGCGCTAGTGTGACCCTCTCGTTCTTCGTCCAATAGGGAATTACCTAGTGTCAAATCATTGGCTGTTCAACATTTGACAGCTGCTGTGGTTGGACAAAAAGCCTGTACTTACATTAGGTGAGCAAAACATGTTAACCCCATTCGTATAAACGATAATAATTAGGTCCCTACGTGTTACATTGTTCTCGGACAATCCAAACAACAAAACTATGTAACTAGAGAATTGCATTGTGAACCTGATTGAAAAAGTAACATATGGCGTTTCTTTCTCGTTCTTCTCCATGGGAATCTACACTTTGGAATGAGCAAATAGCGTCACTTTTTTTTTTGTTGACGTTCAAAAGTGCCTTTCTGGTCTTATTGAAATAAATGATTTTGACTTTGACTTAGATAGAAACTTAGTAAGATATTGAGATCATCATCAACAGCTGGAAGTCATCCACTGCTGGACAAAGGCCTCCTCCTTAGTCCTCCTTTTATATATTGAGAAATAGGGCCTAAATAGATACAGTTATTGGTTTTTTTTAAGATGACTGCTTATCCACTTATACAGGATGTGAGGGTGAGTCCCCAAGAATTTTCGATAAAAGAAAACTCCCGATAGTCCCGAATTCACGTCAACTTAACCCAGTCATAATTAGACCTTCTGTAGACGTTTGGGCTTAACTGCTTTTTACATTACTTTAACATATTAACTGCTTTTTACATTACTTTAACATAAAAGTTGCAGCTAATATGTATTTTCTATTAGTATTAAGATTAACTGCTCAATCCCCAAGCGGTCACCGGCGACCGTTCATCACTTTTTTTTCAAGGGGGGAATTACATCGAATGACTGCTCCCGCCTGAGTGAGGCGGGAGGGAGTGTCAGACTCTTACTGACTAAAAACCATCCCGTTCCTTCTCCTGCACGTCGAACCGGAGCCCCGGTAACCCGTTAGGTTCTCCGCGACACAGTTATTGGGATAGATAATGGATTTGTTTCTGATCTGTAGCTTTGATGGCCTTTAAAATGAATGTAATATGAGATTTGTGTGTACGTTCATTGCTCAATCCTGTTAATACGGCTGAAGGGATAGGGATGAAATTTGGGACAGGGTAGATCATGGCCTGAAATACTTTATACCACTACATAGTATAAAACAAAGTCGCTATCCGCCGTCTGTCTGCCCCTATGTATGCTTAGATCTTTAAAACTACGCAACGGATTTTGATGTAGTTTGTTTTTAATAGATAGAGTGATTCTTAACCCTTTGAGTACCGTCATTATAGACACAATTAAAGAACAATAGGTTGCGGTCACCGGTGTCCTCGCGGTGTTTGACAGTTTAAGGAATGTTTATATGTATAATACATGCATATTGCACCCGTGAGAAGCCGGGGCGGGTCGCTAGTTGATATTAAACGTAGATGAGGCGACGGTTTTTATCACAGTATGTCAACTTACAAGAGTCCAGTGAATATGTAAGACGATTGACTATGCAATAAGACAATTGTATGTTGTATTTGTTATTGTGTATGTTGTCATAACATTGTAATAAGATCATATCTTCGGTTGTAACCTTCGATTGTATCTTGAACAATATGTACAATACATAATGTATTTATATATAATACTTAATATTCATATTATAACTCATGGTTTACGTAAACTTATCATCTACAAGGTGTTGTTTTAAAGCCGCGTCATTCTACGAGGTAACTCGGTTATCGATTCTGAGTCTGAATCAATAAAAAAATTTGTAGGTAATTTTTCATTTTTCTGTAAATTACGGAAATCCGTAAGTGCGAACTACACGCCGCCGCCGTCTAGTTACTAGCTTTATAACGCGACTCAACGCACACAAACTCAAACACGTAATTGATATTATTCCTAATAGAATAAGAAACATTGCTGTCGCTTATTCTGAAATACTGTCGAATTTAAACGATTTATTATAGCCGTATTTTTAACTACTGGCCCGAAATTTTCTCTTACATTGAACCTTTATGACTTCTGTGACATGGCCCCTAGAAATGTCACGGTTTCAAAACTACACCTTGCATATTATTGGCCTTATTGGCCAAGTGGTCGTAAGTGCGACTGCCGGTCAAGGGGTATCGGGTTCAATTCCCGGGTCGGGCAAAGTATTACTCGGTTTTTAAATATTCTCAGTAGTAGCACGGAGCCTGGAATTGTGCCCGGTATATGGCAATAGGCTCACCCCCTATTACATGGGACTCGTAACATAAATAGTGAAAAGTAGGTGTTACATTGTACAGAGGTATAATGTGCACCTCTGCCTACCTCTTCGGGGATAAAAGGCGTGATGTTATGTTATGTATTATATATTTAACGTCTGATTTTTCCTAGAGGTCTTCGTAACCTATAATATCGTTATAATAAATATGTGAAATCTGTTATAAAAGTTTTCTTTCAGGTTTCAACTCTTTAAATGATCCTTAAAATGGATCCGGGCGTTACCTATGTGAAATACAAAGATTCCAAAAATCGTACCATATAATATTATGTCAATTTTTTAACCGATTTCTATAAATGAAGGAGGTTCGAGTTTTACCTGTATGTTTTAAACTTTTCAAATGATCCTGGTTAAAAAGGATCCGGGGATTATGTGGCTCAAAAAGAATGTAATATTATGATGAAAAAGGAGTGACGTGGATATGATGATAGAGGATTTAGGAGTCATGTAAATATTATTATGTCCACAAGGAGAATTAACTTGATATGCTATCTCTGATTGATAAACAATACAGTAATTACAAAGGACCAATCGATATTACTTAGTCTTATTACCATATTCGCTATCAATTACAATGGGACATATTCCATTGACACTTAGTAATAAACAATAAACTAGGTATTAAACGCAATATCAGCCATATGATAATATCTAAATAGTTTAAAGCTTATAATGAACAACATATATTATTATTAAGTCGAGAAATAATCACGATTCGTGATTTATAAGACTAACTTTATATTATGAAGTGTTTGAATTAAAATTTATAAGTGACTTCAAGATTATGACAAGATAAAGGTTTAAAAAGTTGATGCCGGATCTGAGAATTTGGTTTGGTATTTCTGCGGATCCAAAGATTGTATCAGATATTATATTATGTCAGATTTTTTTATCAAATACTTTGTATATTTAAAATAAAAATAACTTCGCCCACACTAGGATTTTCTCATATGTCAGGGATACGATACGTTTACAAACATACAAGTGATACCTACAAGTTCATATACACATGACACCCAGACCCGGAACAACAATCTATGGATCACACAAAGAGTTGTTCCGTGCGGGAATCAAACCCGCGATACGTTGCACGGCATCCAGTTGCCCAACCACCGCACCAACCATGTAATCAAATGATCAGTCAACAGATTAAAAAACAATTGTTCCTGTGACGCTACAGACTTCAGTATTTCAGTGTTTTCTTGTATTGTTCTTGTATCTATTGCAGATACAGAAGATTCAGCGGTTTTGAGAGGGTGTGGCGAGATCAATCTCAATTTGAAACAAATTGTCTATCTAGATTCCCCGCGGCTGTCCAAGGGACACAGTCAAGAGCTGACTAAGACACACTGTCATTTGACAGAGACAAGAGAGCAAGCTGGCAACAGCGCTTTCTGATAAACTTGTCGTCTTTAACTCAAGCCAAGCGTTGGGATGGGGATTTTTTTTATAGCATAAGCCGGTAAACGAGCAGACGGATCACCTTATAGTAAGCAATCGGCGCCGCCCATGGACACTCGAAACACCAAGACGTTACAAGTGCGATACCGGCCTTTTGGGAATTGGGTATTTGAGGATTGTGGAGGATTCGGGATTCGGGAGACGGGGACTAGGGAAGGGGGTAATTGGGCGTCCGGTAACCTCACTCACACGACGATTAGTTATAGTAAACCTTATTTAGAGGAAGCCTATTGTCCAGTAGTGTCTCTTTTCGGTCTGCTATGTTATTTAAATCATTAAAGCAAGGAGTAAGCCTTAAACGACTTACGGATCTAAAGACCACTTGACAAACTAGATGGTTTTAATGAAACTAACATTATAAAATTGTTTATATACATTTAACATACGAGGCTTAACTATATAATATGTAAAACTACTCTAAAATAAGATAAGTCATTCACAAGAGCCTATTTAAAACTACTTTAAATATAAAAAAATAAATTCGCACATACCTTGCACTCCGCAGACGACGGCAGTAACAAACAGACAAACAAAAATCACTCGAGACTCCATTCTGACAGGTGGTCACTGTTACACTGATCGTGCGCAAGCGCAGGTCGCTTATATCTCGCTCTATAGGAGGGAGTGATGCGCACGCGACTATGGGATTACTAACACGGTTAATGCAGATATTAAATGTATTATTTCCCAAGGATTTTTTATTGAAGATTGTTTATTGGTTTGTGGGATTTTCTAGAGGTATATAGGCTTCATTGGAAGTTTTCCTGAAATCTAAGTCTTTAGAATTTTTGTCAGGTATACCTGACGTATTATACGTGTTATTGTCTTCATAAGGGACCACCTGGGTGGGAGGTAAGGCGTAGGCGATATAGGTGTAAATTATGTCTTACATATTTTACTGTCTCCAAATACAGGTCAAATATGTGAGTAAGGCAAAGGAAATTTGATTCCCAACACGCTGTAGACATCGATTTTCTGTGCATACCATGTCTTTCAAAATTATGATATCAATTAGAATCGCCATAAAATATTGTTAATAAAAATATAAGTAAATATTGTATGTAAGTTGTCGTAATGTTTTCGTCGATACCACGACTGGAGGAGAGTGCGCGTAAATCACGGCAGAGGTCGCGCTGGGCCCGCAGACTCGAGTAGCCAATAGCAGCGTGACAGTTGCCGCGTCGCATCGCGGGTCGCGAAATGCTGCTCATGAATATGAGCATAGTATAAACTGTGGTATGAGCCTCTAGCATGGTTTGAAACTAGTCGAGTTCCTCGTCAAATAATTACGTGAGTAAGCTGAAAACATAATGATATTTAAGTAAGTACAAATTAACAAATTAAGTAGCCTTTCAGTATTCGAGCATAAGTTTATCATTTACCAACCCTAAGTAGGTATATTCAACAAACAGGATTATCGATTGGTAAAAAATCCAGGAAAATATCATTACACGATTGAACTTTGGCATTTCCTAATTCATTACCAGTTACAATATAAGATTTTACCTGGTAACAGAAAGTTTTTATTGAACGTTGAATTAATTTTATCATTCGTATCTTCACGCTCTTTAGCCTCATGGAGACAGTCGCGAGCGAACACGAGGTGCATTGACTTTGTCATCGTCATTCAAAGAAGACATTTTTTAAACGGTAAATATTGGGTAATTAGGTTCTATGGGTAAAATCCAGGTACTACGTATTATAAAAAAAACAGTCCAGGGCTTTCTTTTTTAAGGGGGAAGATCATCGAATGACTGCTCCTGTCTGGGTGAGGCGGGAGGGAGTGTCAGACTCTTACTGACTAAAAACCACCCAGTTCCTTCTCCTACACGTCGAGCCGAAGCCCCGGTAACCCATCTGGTTCTCCGCGACTCCGAACCGGCATCAGCCCTGTTGGGCCCCATCCGTGGTGGACTGATGGGTCTCCAGGGCTGTGAATAATACGCAATAAGTTATCGGAGATCCAGCTCAGGAGTAAGAAGAGCGTAGTTTTTAGTCAGTAAGAATCCATGGAGTCATTTAATGATTTCTTCCCCTAACGAAAAACGAGTTGCATGTCTTTTCTTTGTAAAAAGCAAACGTGTTAAGAGTACCTAATAGTAATTAAACATAATACAGGACCAAAGGACTAAGTATCCCGTGACCGAACAGTGGACAAGATCCCATAACATAAAATCACGCCTTTTATCTTCGAAGGTGTAGGCAGAGGTGCATATTATGGCACTTATTGCCACTGTAAAATAATGTGACACCCACTTTTTACCCGACTACGGCGAAGCCAAAAGGAAAGTTATATGATCACTATTTATGTTATGAGTCCCATGTAATAGGGGGTGAGCCTATTACCGTATACCGGACACAATACCCAACTCCGTGCTACTACTGAGAATTGTTATAAAAGTAATACTTTGCCCGATCAAGGAATCAAACCCGAGATTCATTGCTAGGCAGTAGCACTTGCGACCACTCGGCCAACGAAAGAATAAGACATACCTACGTCATAAAGTAATTCGTATCAATTTGCATGTAATTAGGTTATTATGAATGAAAATAACATTGTATAAGGTCTCATCTGACGCTTCTTGTTACGTAGACCGATTGACCCACATCATTATGTAAATTAGGTTCTACAAGTGTGATGACGTTATGATTCAGATTGTCATTGAGTGACGTAGAGATGTTCGTGAGGATCGATCGATGATGTAATTAAAAAATATATTTTTGTCGGTTCCTATTATCAGGATTGTTTTGAAATCGTGGATGTCAGGTTAAATAAGCCTTTAGAACATAACATAACATCACGCCTTTTATCCCCGAAGGGGTAGGCAGAGGTGCACACAGAAGTAACACCCACTTTTCACTATTTGTTTTATGAATCCATCCCATGTAATAGGGGGTGAGCCTATTACTGAGATTTTTTTTAAAAACCCAATAATACTTTGCCCGACCCAGGAATCGAACCCGAGACCCCTTGCCCGGCAGCACTTGCGACCACTCGGCCATCGAGGCAGCCTTTAATAATATTTAAAAAATGTCGCCTATTATTCTCTCGACAGAAATAGCGACGATAGTTATGATAATTTTTTTTATTGCTATATTCTCCTAAGCTATTTAATTTCTTTTTTTCCTGTATAAGTATTCTAATGGAACAATCAGTAGTTAGATGCAGTCCATTTAAGTATAATTGCTCTGCAAACATATTTGAGATCAACGCAAAATAGAAATCGAAAATTTGGTCCTTTTGGTCCTTATTGTATCAAAGGACCACGTGGTAAAGGACAGACATCATCATCACCAGCCCATAAGTGGCCACTGCTGACCAAAGGCCTCTTCTCACACGGAGAAGGTTCGAGCAAAGGACAGTAGTTATTATAGTCTATTAGTCAACTAGCGATAGTCGATAGATCGAAATATTTCCCGTTATGTTTATGCAATCGCATGCCAGCGGGTGTCGGCACACATGTCAGTGGATTCCGCGAAGTTTTTATCATAATTATCAGTCAGTCAAGTAGCCTCGGTTTTTACAAACATTATACTTGCTTATTAACATTTTCTGATGAATTTGAGAGGTTAGCATATTAGTAATATGGATACGGAAATTATTGACACGTCAACGTCAGCATCATTAGTCCATGTCCTATCTATTCATCCACTGCTGGATCTGCCTCTCCTATAGTGTGCCACTGACCTACATCTTCAACTGTATTTATATCTATCAAACATCTGTATCTATTGTAATTAAATGATTTATATTAAATGGTAAAATAACATTGTCCGTCAGCCTTTTCGCTCGAGTTTACCGTGCTAAGTTTAACCTACGGGCCAACCTACACTTAATAAGTATTTTATTTAAACAAACGTCAGATTTTTGTAGCAAATAATTAGGATGAGTTCCATAATTTTTTTTGGAAATTAGGAACTCCAATTATAATGTAAGTGTGATCTAGAAAGCCAACTCATAAAGCCATGATTACCACTCTCATTTGCCTCCAATTAGGCCAAATGGACAGGTTTTAAGGTGTCAAAGGTCAAATTAGAAAAAAGTCAACTTATACCGGTAAAAGGTTAATAGCTCACGGTGGACTAATAAAGGCGGTAAAAAAATTGGGGAGTTATGTACTCTGTGTTCTTGGGGTCCCTTAGAATTCTCCCCATATTATAAGGATTCCCGAAATTATCATTACAGTTTTAGTCATGTTACCTGCAGTTAACATGACTAAAACTGGTGCTGGTGTACGTGTCATGATTGTGAACGGGCGCCGTCAACTGGGACTGGTCAGCTCCAGACTGCATTATTGTCCTTAAGGTTATATTCTTTTTTGATCACTTTGACTGGATTTTAGTGTTACATTGTTCTCGCACAATCCAAACAGCAAAACTATGTAACTAGTAAATTTGTGAACCTGATTGAAAAAGAGTAGGTAACCTATGAAGTTTCTTGCTCGTTCTTCTCCGTAGGAATCTACACCTTGGAATGAGCAAATAGCTACACTTTTTTTTTTTGTTGACGTTCAAAAGTACCATTCTGCCCTAATTGAAATAAATATTTTTACTTTGACTTTGACTTTTGACTTAACTATAATGTGCATGAGGGCCAATTTATCAATGCTTAGATAAATAACTGAGGAATAACTTTGAATATTTGACAATTCATTCATACTAAAAACTGTCTACTGTCAATTTTATTCTACAATTAAGAATTAACTGATGATTGAAAAATCGGCCCTGAGTCTGACTGCAATCTGTGGAACTAGAAATATTTTTAGGTAACTGATTCATATTCTTTAAATATGATTTTTGTACTTCACAAGCGTGCCCTGTACCGAAAACTATTGCGACTGAATTTAGCACGGCCGGAATCTAATAAAATTAAAAGTATGTATCCTACCTAACTGTAACGGATGATGCATGAAGAGATTGATTACCTAATAGGGATGCATGTAGCGAAAACGGTATACCGACGTGTCCGACATCCATGGATTGCACGGGCACAGCCAGGATTACTTTTAAGATACCTATTGGAATTTAGGCCTTTAGTCCAGTACACCTAGTCTTTTCATTAGATATTATACGTAATTGCCATTCACATAATCGGTTTTATAAGTTGGCCCACTTCACTCCAGCCATGCCTTTTTTCAAACAAGCGAATTTATTTCTGCAAATAGGCTACAAGGCAGCACTTTTACACGTCAATTTTATCAAGCGGAAGCGAACGATGAGGTCGATTTAAAGGGGATGTGTCTGTATGGAGTTAAAAAAAAAAATTTTTGGCTACGATCTCAAATTATTGAGGTATTTTTAAATTTTAATAAACAAAAGATAAAAAACCAAAATGTGGTCTAAAATTATGAAGAATAAATAATCTTTATTCTAGTTACGCAACCGTTGAGTTAGAAGATTAGGTCCGTTTAGTCCCCCAAGGACAAACACCTGGGAATCCTGCTAAAGCTAGGGGATTTAGTAAAAGTGCGCTGCCCAACAACTGATGTGAAAAAACAGTGTAATGTGTTGTGCTTAGCCCTTAGATCTCTGAACGAAGGGTCCCCCTAGCT